AAGAGAGGGAGAAACAGAGGAAGAACAGAGAAAAGGAGAGCAAGGAAAGAAGGAAGGAAGGAAACCCCAAACGCACAATCTTCTAACTGTTAACAAGATATAGAAAAGATCTCATCTGCCAAATGTGGGAACTGGGTGCTAAATTTGCCGCTGTTTTGAAAGAAATAGCAAACTAGGATTGTTAACGTTGGAGAGAAGGAAAAAAGGGGGTGTAAATGGCCTGAAGCACAGCTTAAATGAATACAGGCCCACTGGGGTTTTGTGCCACCTTAACAGGGTTTTTGTAATGGCCGCCTGGTTGTAAAGCGAGCAAACCTATGCCAATCCTAAAGAATTCGCTCACGCTTTTCCCACTAAATAAAATCTGAAATATTGCAGGCTTTGAGTGAAACAGCACCATCTCCTGGTCAGTTCTGGTAGCGGCCTGTTGTAAAACTCACCTGGTCAGATTCCTCAAATTAGATTTATTTCCAGAATATTTGGGGCCGGGGGTGGGGGGCAACTGAAAACCCCAAAGAGACTGCAAAGGCCTATTCTGGGGTGGGGAGAAAAAAAACATTTACCGCGAGAGAAAGCCATGCATTGGGTGGTAAGGGGAAAGGAAGAAGGGAAAATGCACCAAAACGCATAAAATGGGCCGGGAAAAACATGGAAAATCGACCCTGCCAAGTTGCCCACCCTGCCCAGAGAGACCCTGCATTGTTAGCAAAATGGCTGTCAAATAAAATAAAATAAAATAAAATAAAATAAAAAAAATATATTATATATGATATGGTATGGTATTATATTATTATAATATAATATAATATAATATAATATAATATAATATAATACAATACAATACAATACAATACAATACAATACTAAAATAAAATAAAATAAAAGCAGAACACCTTGAAAGGTTAAGATAGACTACTCCTCAACATGGAGGTTCTACTGACTGCTGCTAGCTGCTGAGAAGCCCTCTGGGGAAGCACTAAAAGCTGGCGTTCCTGTTTTTCCAGGGTGCCATTAAAAGATGATTCAGTAAGAAAAACAACAACGACCCACTGCTGTTCCCTTCTTTCTCGGGATCTTCGAGATAGACTGCTCCTAGACAGAGAGGCTCTGCTTGAATCTTCAAACAGCTCTAAACTGCGTGGGAATTCCTAGATTAAAACCAGAGCTTCTCGACCTGGGCGGTTTTGAAAAGGCGTTGGACTTCATCTCCCAGAATTCTCCAGTCGAGAAATAATGGAGGCCGCTGGAAGGGGGGATTGTAGTCCCTCCGGGTGGGGCTGAACTACATTTCCCAGCATTCCGTTGGGCAGAATTAGCCGCCGCAGCTGTGTTAGCGCGCGAGTTTCTCCTTTTAAAACGTTAAAAAAAAACACTATTATACCGAGGAGGAAAAAGCAACACCAAAAGATTAAAAGGCCATATTACGTGTGTAATAAAGCTCAGGTTTTCCAGTATCATGTTTAAACTTTGAACATACATGTTGCTCTCTTTTCCTTTGGAAAAAAGCAAACCCAAATCCTCCACGGTTCCAAATTAGGCGCCTTTAAAAGAGCATAAAATTCCCATTCAAGCCGAATAATATCCTAGCAATTCACACGTCAATAAATCGACCCGGTTTTTGTTTTTTGTTTTGCACCTCCGTTCTTTTTCCTCTTTAAATAATGTGGGAACATTTTTAACCCCAAATTGGAGATTGCAAAGCTAGGGAGTTGGACTAGATGACTACAAGGTCCCTTCCAACTCTGATTATCTGTTATTTTTGCAAAAAAAAAACAAAAACAAAGCGTGTTTTTAAAAACCGAATCTCATTTTGAATGTGTAAGAAAAAAAAATAGTTTGTGGGTCTGAAAGGCTTGAAAGAAAATAATTTTGTCAACATTTTGACACAAAAAAAGGTATCAAAAATATCCAAAGCCTTCCAACTCACTGCCCCTTTTTAGCAAATGACTGGCATCCTTTTTTGTTTAAACTATTATTTATTAAACCCATTTATATTGACCGGTGACTCTGGGTGCAGGTGCACAGCAGTGCTGGAAACAGTTAATAAATGCATTCAAAATGGTTAAAAACCAAATTGGTCCTCTTCTTCCACAAAAAGGCGAGGGGGAAAAAACAAAACTTTTTTTATTCTTAAATTACAATTCAAGGAGCCGCAGCTGAAGCTCCTTGGCCAAATTTAGGGGGGGGTCTACTTTTTAGGCCATTCCTGCACACAAATCTCTGCTGTGAATTTGCATTTCCTGCAATTCTTCCCCCCACCTCCTCACTGCAACAGACCCCCCCCTTTAAACCCCCAATATGGGGGGAAGGCCCCCCCTTTAAACCCCCAATATGGGGGGAAGGCCCCTCCTTTGAACCCCCATTATGGG